GATCACTTCGGCGTTCTTGATGCCACGAGCAATCTCTTCACGCCACACTGAGCCACCACCGATACCCGTCGGGTCCATGAGATCAAGCCAGGACGTGATGTTCGCACGCTCAAGACTGTCGCGAATCTTTAACGCAAACTGACTGTGAGAGTGCGTATAACTGATCATAACGTCGCGATCTCCAGCAGCTTGTTTAATCTCGAACTGCAACTGCGTCGAGGTGGTGCAGTCCACAGGACGGTAGCCATCCCGGTTCGTCTCCATCACATCCGCTCCAGCGTCCAGCAGTGCCAATGCTGTTCCCTTCTGCTCACACTTCATCGCAATATGCAGCGCTGTATCACCATTCGGAAGACGGTCATCGATGTCTGCGCCATGCTGGACGAGGCAGTCAAACAAGTCGACACTCACGTTCTTGGAGGACGCAGCACACAGCAGAGGAGTGTGGTCACGATAGTCGCGTAGGTTCACGTCAGCACCTTTTGTCAGTAGTAAACGCACCACTGCTGGCTTGTTCACTCGTGCGGCCCAATGTAGTGGCGACCGACCGAAGATATCCTGGAAATCGGGATCGGATCCAGCTTCAAGCAGCATGCTAATGGCTTCGACAGCGCCAGTAATCGCTGCCCAATGCAAAGGAGTACGGCGATGCATGCCTGTATAACCGTATTCGCCCACACAGTTCGGATCCGCGCCAGTCTTTAGCAGCTTCCTGATGCTTATTGTGTTGTTCTTGGCAGCAGCTTCATGCAGAGGTGTTAGAGCCACATCCGCACCCCATTCTTCCAATTCGTGTGCAACAGGGAAGTTGCCTCGCATGTAGGCCATCTGCAACACTGTGACCGTATTCATATGGCCAGGATCGGGCACTTCGAGATGGTTTGCGCCAGCTTCAAGTAGCAGCGTCACAATATCCGGGTTATCAGCGACGAAAAGAGGCGGCATCCGGTCGGACCAATACGAAGCCTTGGATTTGAGATTCACGTTGACGCCATGCTCAATAAGCCACTGAACTGCCTGAATCTGCCCTGTACTCACAGCGCAATGTAGCGGCGTCACCAGCGTCGTACGGAAGATCGACGCAGCCATTTCATCTTCAGACGTCAGAGGTTTCGAAACGAAGATCTGCGCGAATGTCCAGAATAAATCACCAGTCGTAAAACGCACGCGAGACACCTTATCATAGCTATCCACACGGAATCCAGCCTCGAAAAGCAGTTGCAACGCCTGAACGTTTCCCAGATAAGCAGCCACATGAATTGGGTTCTTCTTGGAGCGACCAAACAGCTTGAAGACCAGTCTGGCGTCATTGTACATTTCATGGGCGAACTCTGTGCCCAGCCGCTCTTTAGCGTACTCCAATAGCGTCTCCATCTTGGCTACATTTCCCAGTGACGTCTCCTTGTAGAGGTGTTTACGTATGTCGTTCACCACCCGCGTGCGCTCTGACTTGTATTTACTGCGCCGACGTTGCAGTCGAGATCGGATACCTCCAGTTTGGTCCGTTTCCTTAAACGCCCCAAGTTGCATACTCAGATGCTCTCGGAAACGTGCGAAGTACGTGAGTACCACGAAATTTGCGAAAAATGTCACCACTGCGAAGGCCACGTACAATATTGCACGTGCCTGACTGCAATGAAAATTATTGCCTTGGAAAATTGCATACACGAAGTACAGAATCACCAGGAGACTAAACACCAACACCACCACGCTCAAGAGTTCGCAGAACTGGAAAAATACTGAGCGTTGGATCTTCTGGCGGCCTCCGCCGTCTCGACGTCGTCGAAAAGGCTCAAATAACCGCAAACCGGATGCTGGTAGACCGATGATCACTAGCAGCGGCGCCACGTGATACACCAACATGGCGTACACCACAATAGTGTCACAAGCGCCGCAGTAGTCTGTGTCTGCAATACACGCCGTGGTTATCGTACGCTGGAAAGACATTGCGTATCCTACGTCCTGTACGTACACGCCTCCATGTCCGATATCCTTGGACACCCAGAATGCCACAATACCTGCAATACCGAGCGCCGCGACCAGTAACGTGCTCATACGCAAGCGCCATGTAAAGTATGAGTTGCGCCCATATCCAGGACCAAGGAAGGCGTTGGGAAGAGGTTTGGGCGTGCCACGGGGCATGACAGCCACGGCGTCATCGTCCACATCGCCCAGTTCCATCATCGCTTCGTCCGTAGAGCCACTGGGTAGTGGCGTGGCTTTGTCGGTGGACGCAGCGGGCACCGTCGTGGACGGACCCTGAGAGCTGCGGCGACTCACGCGCTCGGCACCGTGGCCCGAGAACGAGCCCTGTTCCGGCAGCGCGTGGTAGTCCGCGGCGGCTTCCGTCATCGCGCGGTGTTGCAAAGTGTGGCGGAGGGATCCCGATGAAGATGTCACGCTTGGCTTGGCGCCGCGCTGGGTGAAGTTTCGTAATGCAAGGTCCTGGAAGCAAAGTTGGTTCGAACAAGCCGGAAGGAAAAGTTAATTTTTACGATATGACGTAAGTGCCCTGGCTTTGTGTCCTGTGCTTCGAATGACTTGGCGTTTGTAAGGGGTGGAGTATTGATTGTAGGAAGAGAGTTTTTGACGTTTTCAAGTTTGACGTTTTCAAGTTTTATTTTTCACGACTTTTGGACCAGCGAGGTGGACAAGAGCAAGAATCAACCACTGGCAGAGATTACCACTGGTGAGGTAGGCAACCACATAGGTACATGCTGTAGTTCTTGCTTTGCCAGGCCAGTGGTAGACTTCCAAAAATAACACAATCGCAAGACTGTGTCGGTCATATCATGACATATGTGTCGGTCTTGATCCAGTACATGTGCGTGGTATATGACTGGTTTGTGTATTACCAGTCCTCCAAAAATAACACATGCAAAGCGGTATAATCTTCGATGAAAGTTAGTTGCTGATCGTCATTTCAGCGTTCTTCAGCAGAGTTGCACAGTGAAACGGAGTGCAAGGTACTCTAAAGACATGGTTCACCGCACTATTATCCTCTTCGCCAACCTGAATCGCCGTCGCCAGCACGAATTACGTCATAAGCGTCAACTCAAGTGGAAAATTGCTGCTTTGCTTCGCGTTCGTATGACTCTCAGAGTTCGTAACTACCTGACCTCAAGTGCGCTTATATCTCCGTCGAACAGCCCATGGGCTACAATTTACAGAAGCAGAGACGACGGAGCGTTTATCAATACGGTGGCAATACCAGTGGCGGCATTTGAAAGATTACTGCTATCGTTTACAGCACACTACGTTGTTAAGAGCGGTCCTGGCAAACGAGGACGTCCTCCTCGCTTCTGTAGCATCAATAACGTCCTCGCTTGTCTTCTACATTTTTACGCGCACGCCGTGGAGCACAAAACGCTGTGTGAGATGTTTGGAGCGCCTCCCTCCACGCTGTCACGCGTTCTTTGCAACGCAGAGGTCGCTCTGCACAAGGCACTACCAGAAGTACCGGAAGCCCAGATTCGGTGGCCGACATGTGATCAACAGCGTAGTTGGGCCGCCAGTGTTACCAAGAAGGAGGCACTTGTACGAGGATGCTTTTGTGTTGCTGATGGAAAAAACTATGCAGTCCAGGAGCCTTCGGCTAGCGATCTGCAGAACGCTTACTTTAATGGTAGGTCTTTTTAACGCGGTTATAGTTACACTTCTGTATCTAATTACTGTGTTTGTAGGATGGCTTCACTCAGTGAAGGTGACAGGTGTACTCTGCTACGGTTTTGACGGAACGCTCATTTGGGGCCGGCATAACCATCCAGGCTCATGGAACGACGGAGAAATGAGTAGGAATTTGCAGTATCGGCTTGCTGATACATCAAAGACTTCTCAGGTGCTGTTGCAGTAGTCAGCGAGTCCAACACGGAGTCGAGGCGGATACGACGGCGAGCTGTCTGACTCAATAGAACTGGTGATGAAGACGCTGGCATGCTGAGCCGATCTGACAAATGAGCCAATTCTGCTGGACTAAGGCCCGAGCGAGGAGTTGCTGTTAACGGAGTTTGCACGGGAGGAGGCGTCGTGCTTCTGTTCAATTGGGTGTCTTCGAGGGTGCCATTGCCTGCGATGTCCGATCCTTCAGCGTGTTGTTCGTGAGTGTTTGTCAACTGAAAGTTTACCAGAGGCTCGTTATCAAGGAGAGGCTCAGTGTTCCCTTCCTCATCGTTTGAAGAAGGTTCGGTCCTGCCGATAACGTCTTCGATGGTATCTCCACTGTCGGAATCGTCGTGCAAAGTCGTAACAGCGCATTTTGCTTCTATCATTCTAAACACTTGTTTGGCTTTGCGGACTTCTTGAGGACAGTCGGGATCTCCAGTTGGTTTGCGTTTATTTTTCAGTCCAAGAAACTTCCGCTTTAGGCTATCGCCGTCGCGCTGCGGCCAACCGACTGGTAAATGAGAGTTGTAGGCAGACGCAATACTTTGCCATTGCTCAGCTCCAAACGGTAGTCTCGCTTCTACAAGAACCAGCATTCCTACAGCAAGACAATAACAGCAACGTGAGGTCCTAACTCACCACTTAAATACGTTCATGTATGTACGGTTAATTTCCGCTGTCTTGAAATTTTTTCCTTTCGTCTTCTTCCCATTACTGGGTCATGATTTAAAGCTGGAGTGGTTGTGTACCTGAGTGACGTTTTCAAAATGATCTCTCTTGGGAAACTCGCAC